CCAGCGTTCACACTCATACTAGCGTCCAGCGTTCATACTCACACTAGCGTCCAGCATTCATACTCACACTAGCGTCCAGCGTTCATACTCACACTAGCGTCCAGCGTTCATACTCACACTAGCGTCCAGCTAAACACGACACACAGACATTCACTGATATTTCAACTTTGCTTCAGAATCACATTTCCAGACGACCAGATTCTGAATAGAGACTCAAGCCTGGCACTGTTGCCTGTCGTCCTGGTGGTCGGCCGCCGCTTTAACGAGCCTGGCCTGAGGACCGGATGGGATGCATTACACTCGTCTGCTGTCTGTAAAAGGAATATGGGGAAGAGGAGAAAAAGAAGAACAGGAGTAGTAGTCAAAATAAGAAGATAAACTGGTTCCTCTCTCTCTCTCTCTCTCTCTCTCTCTCTCTCTCTCTCTCTCTCTCTCTCACACACACACAAGCACACACGTCCGCGAGCACTACCAGCACTCGCTCGTGGGGGAAGCCTGTGGCTGAGTGGACAGCGCTCGGGGGTCGTACACCAAATGGCTCGGGTTCTATCCCCAGCCGAGGTAGAAACAAATGGGCAGAGTTTCTTTCACCCTGATGTATCTGTTCACCTAGCAGTAAATACGTACCTGGGACTTAGACACCTGCTATTAGCTACTTCCTGGGGATGTGTGTGTGGGTTAGCGAGAAATATATGTAGTAGACATAATAGAATATATATATATATATATATATATATATATATATATATATATATATATATATATATATATATATATATATATATATATATAGGCACGGAAAAATGGCCAGTACTTGAGAGGAGAGAAAATTGTCTTAAACCGGTGACTTAGAGTCCATTATGGCGCTTCCTGTTGCTGGACAAACCCTGACTTGACTTTCCACGACATCACGGAGGAGAAGTATCTTAAGTACGTTATCTTAAGTGCGTTATTTTAAGTGCGTTATCTTAAGTGCGTTACGCGGCGTAATTACTTACAAGTGCGGGGATGTTAGCATGCAAGACTTCATTAAGGAGAGGAGGGAGTGAGAGGGGGTGTTTGGGGGGGGGGGGATTTAATGGATGGGAGAAGGATGTGGGATGGAAATGGAAGAGGAGATAGGGGATAGGGAGCGGGTAAAGGGGAAAGGGGTGCAGACGTGATGGGGGGCTTATGAGGGGGGCGGATGGTTGAGGGAGGGTTGGAGTATGTTGGTAAAGGGAGGTAGCAGTAGTATACATATGGGGGTATGAGGTAAGGCAATTATCAGGAGAAATCATCAAGCTATTACGACTATATCTTGGAAGGGATCATAAGGATAAAGATTTGGGATGGAACGGAAGGGACGGATACAGTGACGGTGATGGTGACAGTGACGGTGATGGTGACAGTGACGGTGATGGTGACAGTGACGGTGATGGTGACAGTGACGGTGATGGTGACAGTGACGGTGATGGTGACAGTGACGGTGATAGTGACAGTGACGGTGATGGTGACAGTGACGGTGATGGTGACAGTGACAGTAATGGTGATAATCAGTAATTTGTGTATTTTTTATGGTGAGTTATTACCCCAGTTCCTCGCGTGCCTTCCTGACCGCCCTCCACCTAAGAGCTCAAGATTTTATCTTGAGATGATAAGATATCATCGGATGGTTAAAACAGAAGTTGGAGAGATCTTCTTGGCTCCTGCCAGGTAGTTCCCATTTATACTCAACCACAATTAATATATTTATCCAGCCACTGCTTGAAACAGTTCAGCAATACACCTCCCTCAATCGTGAATTATATTACCTAGCAAAGGTACTTAAGATACGCCTGACAGCTGGGTGGACAGCGCTTCGGATTCGTAGCCCTGAGGTTCCGGGTTCGATCCCCCGGTGGAGGCGGAGACAAATGGGCAAAATGTTTCTTTCATCCTGATGCCCTTGTTACCTAGCAGTAAATAGGTACCTGGGAGTTAGACAGCTGCTACGGGCTGCTTCCTGGAGGGGGGTGTGTAACAAAAAGGAGGCCCTGGTCGAGGACCGGGCCGCGGGGTCGCTAAGCCCCGAAATCATCTCAAGATAACCTCAAGATACAATTTTTCAAACCAGTATTTTTGTTTAAGACTCTAAAATTTTCTAATTTGAATCACGTGTTATGTGATTAATTATGAGTTTATGTATTTCTCAACTCATTTATATCTTGCCAATTACTCTTTCTTTCATTTGGATGCTTTATTTACGTCTATATAACGTCGCCTTAGTAATGCATATTACTTAAGTAAGAATTCCTATTCATAATGGTTGTTCCTAATTCTCGGTATTTACCAAGCGAATATTATAGAATTTATAGGAAAATTGTTTCTATGTCATATACATTGAAATCCCAATAACGTTATTCAACTATGATAAAATCTGTTTTAGGTTGAAGGGGATCGAACGAGCGTCCTGGATATCCCCCTGATGCGTGCCTTTTCTCATGGTTCATGATATTCCAGGTACCAGGATCCAGGATACCATGGATCATGATATTCCAGGTACCAGGATCCAGGATACCATGGATCATAATATTCCAGGTGGAATATTAGCGTATCTTGGTCCATGGTTCGTGGTGATCGTCTACGGTTGTCCAGAACGACGATTCGACCCCCCTTTCCTGCTCTACAGATTTTCTGTTCCGTCCAAGGGGTTGGGCACCATTCCTTTCCCTCCACCGTCCCATCCCAAATCCTTATCCTGACCCCTTCCCAGTGCTGCGTTGACATGTTGGCTTGGCGCTTTCCCCCTGATATATTTTATTAATAAATATTATAATTACACAACGAATTTCATAACTGAGCTGCTACTCCAGCTTTATCGTGCCCTCATAAGTGTATGATAACGCTAAAATCTCTATCTGCGTTGTTACTGAAGTGTCTTGTTATAAGTCGAAGTATTTTGGGGATTTATAACAGTTTATATTCCAAAGTGCATGAGAGCAGGGCGTGAAACCCTGAGTGGGCTTCAGTAGAAGCCTCAGGATCCCCAGAGGATTCAGTTGAAGTCCAGGTTGCAATGCTTTTGACCTTGTCGTGGTCTAGTGGTCTAAGGCGTGGGCTTGGGAGTACCAAGTATGCGGGTTCGAATCCCCATCATGGGTACTACTGATTTTGTCATCGATTTCCTTGCTTAAGATTCTTGAATGAATACCGAAGTGCCAATATCAGTACTATTCAGCTGATAATATATTAGCAATAATATAATTTTCTACATTATATTTGTCTGCATTAAACAGAACTTGTCAGTGTTATGTCGAGTCTATGTCTTAACTTCTTATTTAGGAATTTCGATGCTCTATCTGATGTTATTCTGCTTATATGGACTTTAGTTCATGTAAACAGAGAGAAAGTGAGAGAGAGAGAGACAGAGACAGAAAGATTTCGGACGTTTAACACATTTTCTATTCAAGTTCCACTGTCTCCATATTTCTCCTTCTGCTCCTGTAAATAACCAAGTTGAACAAGCTATTATAACTTCTCTCTCCACGAAGAATAAAAATTCCGGCAAGTTTTCAGAAGGAAGAAAATCGAAAAAGAAAGTCTGAACGGCTCAACATACAATGATATGTGATTATAAGGTGTTCTGCGATATATGTGTATATATATATATATATATATATATATATATATATATATATATATATATATATATATATATATATATATATATATATATATATATATATGAACATTTACCGGAATATTTGCCTTAAAATGGATTCGATAAGATCTCAAATTTTTTTATCGAAAGTTATTTCATTTGACAGCTCAGAGTGACGTTGCGGAAGTGAAGTTTCTCAACATGGGTGTGAAGTGGTGTAATTAAGAAGTCCTTTGTAATGAGAAAACTTACTGAGGTGTTAAAGTATTTCACTAAAGGTGAAGGAAAGACCCAATACATTTGTGTAAGTGTATAATTGCAACCAAAATTTGTTTTTTGGGGGGATGAACCTGACATCCTTTATTTAAGTGCTGTTAAACAATGTTCTGAACTCTGATTCATATGTTTATATGTCTGGCAGAGCGCCTCACGCGGCCTTCGTCAATAGATATAGTTATATCAATAGATATAGTTATATCAATAGATATAGTTATATCAATAGATATAGTTATATCAATAGATATAGTTATATCAATAGATATAGTTATATCAATAGATATAGTTATATCAATAGATATAGTTATATCGCACATCAATAGATATAGTTATGATTATGTTCCCCAGAGGTTCCTCAGAGGTTCCCCAGGAATTCTCCAGGGGTTCCTAAGGGCCTCCTTAAAGATTGACTGATCAAATTGTCGTGGTTCGCAGGAAATAAATGTCGGTTATCGTGGGAACATTATCCCCAGTTCGAATCCTAATCACGGCTCCTGTGAATTTTCTCATTAATATATCGCGATAATGGGATTTCTCTGTTAATTATTATTATTATTATTATTATTATTATTATTATTATTATTATTATTATTATTATTATTATTATTTATTATAAGGATTATAATATTATATTTTATTTGTAATCAAAATATTGTGTGTCTCCGCCAAAGCATTTTCAAGGATTTAAAACTGTTGGAATGACAAACTGGCTTCGTTCCCAGTCTGTTGCCAAAATGCATTCCATAATTTGGCTCATTTCCAGTGGTAAGATCGTCGAAATTGCTTTAATAATACTAAAAATAATAAATATTTCTATTATTTTTAGTATTATAAATGCTAACACAAGGTGTTACTATTGTATTAATGCAGAAAGTGGGAGGATAAATCCAAGTGTAGTCTTGTATTCTGAGAACATTTATCCACAGCAAGAGGTATAAATAAAACTACAATTTTATCGAATAATATATTATATAGAAAAGTTAGACAACATTTTGGCATTGTTTTAGATCCAATACATATATATATATATATATATATATATATATATATATATATATATATATATATATATATATATATATATATATATATATATATATATATATTAGTTATAAAACCATAATATGAAGCGGGTGGTGTTTACATCTGGGTGAGGAGATCAGGTGACCGTGGTAGCATGGGTCAGGTGGTGCAGGTGGCAACAGGTGAACCAGCTGGCCCAGGTGAGCACAAGGTGAGGGCCGCAGGTGACCAAGGTGGCCCAGGTGACCGGGGGCAGCAGCAGAGGCCACCACGGCTGACGAAGTGTGGCTGTGGCGCCCCCTGAAGCTGGGGTCTCCGGTAGGGCGTCATGCTGCATGGCTGCTGAGTTCTCTCCTGGGGGAGAGGCAGGAGACAACGGCAGGGTGAGTGTGTGGGGGGGGGACTGGAGGCTGTCTCTTTCTCTCTGTCTCTCTGTCTGTCTCTCTCTCTCTCTCTCTCTCTCTCTCTCTCTCTCTCTCTCTCTCTCTCTCTCTCTCTCTCTCTCTCTCTCTCTCTCTCTCTCTCTCTCTCTCTCTCTCTCTCTCTCTCTCTCTCTCTCTCTCTCTCTCTCTCTCTCTCTTTCTCTCTCTCTCTCTCTCTCACTCTCTCTCATACAACGTAAAACATAAATTAATAAATAAACACCAATAAGATTTATTAGACTCTCTGAGATATCAGCAGGAAGAGAGCTGATATCTGAGAGGCCAAATAACAAAGAGAGATAACAAAGGCCAAATGCGTTTGTAGGTGAACTCAGTGGAGAGAACAGACTCACGGCAGCACACACACACTTTAGGAGACATTTTCAAAGTGGCATGTCATTGCTGCGGTCCCCGTGGTATAGTGGTTAGACACTCGCCTGGCCTTTCTCGAGCCTGGCTTTGTCCTGGGTTCGTATCCTGGCCGGGGAGGATTTACTGGGCGTCAATCCTTAACTGTAGCCTCTATTTACACAACAGTACAAGGGGTTCCTGGTTGTTAAACGATTTGGCGGGTCGTATTCCAAGAAGCATAGGATTAAGGACCTGTCCGAAACGCTATGCGTACTAGTGGCTGTACAAGAATTTAAGAACTGTTGTATGTGTAAATAAATAACAACATGTAGAAGGATGTCGCAGCGTGACACCGTCCGAGGGAGACGGCCACTAATATGGAGACCAAGTCTGTCTCAGGTGTTTAAGAAACATTGATTTAAGAAGCTTAGGATAATTTATATCCGTGTGTTTGTGCCTCACTCGGCGGCTCTCTAATGTACATATATATACAGTGGCACTGAACAGTGGCATTGAACAGAGGAGCTGAACAGTGGCATTGAACAGTGGCATGGAAAATAACGTCCGTCATCTAAGATGAGATGTTGCCACATTATTCGAGGTGAAGATTTTCATATATTTGAAAATAAATTTTCAATAAATTTTCATAACTTTCATATTTATGTCTTAATGCACCATAAAATACATGAAAATCAACGGCCGAAAAACACTCAATGAAAATTATACTTTTGCAGAACTTATCAAAAAGATCTTATTACTCTAAAAAGAAAATAGAATGAAAATGGAAAGATATCAAAACCTGTAGTAAATTTAGTCAAGATATCCGAGGGGGATCCTGAAGATTTATCACGATGATGCAACTTGATTTATGATGGCAAATCATCTGACGTTGCATCCTGTCTAGTCAGGAATAAATGGCTGTCGAGTTCTAAGTTCTAAGCCAATCTTGAGGTTATCTTGAGATGATTTCGGGGCTTTTTGGTGTCCCCGCGGCCCGGTCCTCGACCAGGCCTCCACCCCCAGGAAGCAGCCCGTGACAGCTGACTAACACCTAGGTACCTATTTTACTGCTAGGTAACAGGGGCATAGGGTGAAAGAAACTCTGCCCATTGTTTCTCGCCGGCGCCTGGGATCGAACCCCAGGACCACAGGATCACAAGTACAGCGTGCTGTCCGCTCGGCCGACCGGCTCCCTGCCAATAGTTAGGTTAGGTTATAACTATCTACAATGTGAGATAATTCCTGTGAGTTTTATTTTTTTAGACTTACCAATTTTCCTATTTTCAGGTGCTCAATTTAAGCACTTTAATAATAGTTATTTCCTGTATTACTTTCTGTCAATCGGTTTATAACTCAGTTACTGCTGAGTGACCCGAATGAGCACTTGATAGATGCTCACTTCTCCCTTCCCAGTCCGGGGCACGAACCCGGGCCAGGCCTGTGGCGAGGAATGGGGCCAGCGCGCTACCACCGCACCACAGGCCCTTATGGTCAAAGTTGCATCAGCGCTCAAGCAATATCCAGACGGTTGTGCAATTGCAGCCTAACAAATGCGTGTTCTGTGTCGTAATTTGCAGTATGACACAAGTATTCCGTCAGAGACTAGCCAACAGAGCACTAACTCTGCTCTATGTGTTAGAGTTTTCCCTGATTTAACGACAGTTTACCACGGGTAGTCCATCTAACTCTCCCGGAACCGAAGCCTCGGCTCTAGCGTTAATTTGCCGCGTAAACACCAACTTTGCCCCGCTGAAATAATTGTTTACCTCATTATAAACCCTGGCTAACTCGCGCCAGTGTGTTCAGTGGTTTATACTGGCCAGTTTGTAATTCTTACGTCAGCTGCTGTATCAGCTCTTTACTTAGGTGCAGCACACGCACACACACACACACACACACACACACACACACACACACACACACACACACACACACACACACACACACACACACACACACACACACACGAAGGCAAGTGTCCCTCACTTGCATAATATGCAAAGTAATGCAAAAAATACCAGTAGGCCATCTGGAGAAAACAATGTTAGAGAGTGCACCAGAGTGTATACTCCCCCAGTACACCAAGAGTGCCTGTACACTTCCTCAGTACACCAAGAGTGCACCAGGGGTGTACTCCCCTCCCCAGCACACCAGGAGCAGGAGACTCACCCGCTATAACGTGGACGGTGACGGTGTCGCTGGTGTAATTGGCGTACCAGCAGGAGTAGCGGCCGGAGTCTGTCGGGGCGGCGTGGGCCACGTAGAGCCGGCTGGCGATGAACCCGGAGGTCATGTCTCCCTTCACACTGTAGGGTAACACCGGGATAATATGAGTCTCCCTTCACACTGTAGGGTAACACCGGGATAATATGAGTCTCCCTTCACACTGTAGGGTAACACCGGGATAAAATGAGTCTCCCTTCACACTGTAGGGTAACACCGGGATAATATGAGTCCCCCTTCACACTGTAGGGTAACACCGGGATAAAATGAGTCTCCCTTCACACTGTAGGGTAACACCGGGATAATATGAGTCCCCCTTCACACTGTAGGGTAACACCGGGATAATATGAGTCTCCCTTCACACTGTAGGGTAACACCGGGATAATATGAGTCTCCCTTCACACTGTAGGGTAACACCGGGATAATATGAGTCTCCCTTCACACTGTAGGGTAACACCGGGATAATATGAGTCTCCCTTCACACTGTAGGGTAACACCGGGATAATATGAGTCCCCCTTCACACTGTAGGGTAACACCGGGATAATATGAGTCTCCCTTCACACTGTAGGGTAACACCGGGATAATATGAGTCCCCCTTCACACTGTAGGGTAACACCGGGATAATATGAGTCTCCCTTCACACTGTAGGGTAACACCGGGATAATATGAGTCTCCCTTCACACTGTAGGATAACACCGGGATAATATGAGTCTCCCTTCACACTGTAGGGTAACACCGGGATAATATGAGTTCCCCTTCACACTGTAGGGCAACACCAGACAGACAGACACAGTCAGGAAGAGAGATAGAAAAACACATTGACAAAAAGAGAAATCTAGGGATACCAGGACCGACCCGGGCACCGCCGGGTCTTCCACCTATTCTATATATGAAAGAGATTGTCGGTCTGTCTGTTAAAGGTCTCACCAAACTTTGCAGGGTGACTGGTGGTGTTCCGGAAATGATCATAGGCCAGTGGTGGAGGGGTAAGGTAAGTCTTAAAAGGTAAGAAAGGTGGTGAAGGAGAGGTAAGGTGGTGTCTAGGGTAGGTAATGGTGGGTAAAGTAAGTGGTGCAGGTACACTGAAGACGGTGAAGGGTCGCATGTAAGCACAGATGGCTGTGCAGTGATGACAGGTCGTGTGGTTATCTTGAGATCTTGAGATTATCTTGAGATGATTTCGGGGCTTTTTAGTGTCCCCGCGGCCCGGTCCTCGACCAGGCCTCCACCCCCAGGAAGCAGCTTGTGCAGATATTGTCTTCACCTCAGCCCGGTAACAATTCAACAGACCCACTGAGGGAGTGATCTGATATAATAGGCTTATTCCCAAATGCTAAGATATTGGATGCGTCAGACGGTAAAGGGAGAGGGGGGGTGGGTAGTGGTGGGGGAGGAGGGGAGGGGGGGGGGGAGGAGGGGGGGGGGGGGGGGGAGGAGGGGAGGGGGTGGGGGAGGAGGGGAGGGGGTGGGGGAGGAGTTGGGTAAAAAGAAGTGAACCGCTGTCCTATATTTAAAGAGTTAAAATAAAAATTCGGATGCCAAATGGCGCCGTCGGCCGGGAAGCGACTCAGACCGCTTGAATACTAAATTTTTCTCGTATCCGATGTCGACAAGACACTTTTCATTTTTTCCCCGGGGGAAAAGGGAGGTCAGTGAGTCAGGGGTGGGGGTAATGGGGGAGGAGGTGATGGGAGGTGGGATCAGGGAGCAGACGGGGAATGGGAATCAGGAATGAGGTCAGAGGGAACAAGGAGAAAGTGTCAAGTCAGGGAGAATAGAGGTCAGGGAGGACCTCATGGTAGTCAGGGAGGAGGTAAAGGGTTATTAAGGAGGAGCCAACGGAGTGGCTCCAAAGTGGGAGGGTCAGGGAGTGACCCTGATCCTCCCTACTTTTAAATAAGTGAATCAAAGGGGAAGGTAAGGGGGGAAAGTCAGAGAGAACGTGAAGGTGTTAGAGATAATGTAAAAGTGGTCAGAGGAAGAAGGTGCAGGTGGGAGTTAGGAACATGATCAGGGAGATCAGGCGATGATCTCCCTGATTATGAGTCAGGGAGAGGTCTAAAGAGACCATCAACCTGATACACCACGAAAACCATTTTGTTCTCACATTATTTTTACAAATAATGACCAAAGTATTGCAGGCGAAGACTGCCTGAAAACTTTTGTAAACAATAGACAAAAATAATTAAAAGCATCACCGGTATATTAAAGAGTTTCTGGCTAGTTTTAGACAACTTCATTACGCGTTCCTTTGGGTCGGATGTAACTCGGAAACTACTCAAGGAGATTTTTGAGTGGGTCTCCCCAGTGATGCTTATCAACTTCTCTCTTTGCGTCCTTCACTCTCTTTCTTACCTCTCTCTCTCTCTCTCTCTCTCTCTCTCTCTCTCTCTCTCTCTCTCTCTCTCTCTCTCTCTCTCTCTCTCTCTCTCTCTTACCTTTCTTCCTGCGTCCTTCTCTGCCTCTGGCTGGCTGGACGGTAGAGCGACGGTCTCGCTTCATGCAGATCGGCGTTCAATCCCCGACCGTATAAGTGGTTGGGCACCATTCCTTCCCCCCGTCCCATCCCAAATCCTTATCCTGACCCCTTCCCAGTGCTATATAGTCGTAATGGCTTGGCGCTTTCCCTTGATAATTCCTTCCTTCTCTCTCTCTCTCTCTCTCTCTCTCTCTCTCTCTCTCTCTCTCTCTCTCTCTCTCTCTCTCTCTCTCTCTCTCTCTCTCTCTCATCTTTAACATCCAGCTTTTCTTTATTAAATATAAAAGAAACAAACTATAAATAAAAAATTAGGAATGCTATAAGCTGTTTCCCCAAGGCTTGGTTCTAAGATTGTTAAAATATATATATATATATATATATATATATATATATATATATATATATATATTTAATATATGTAAATGGCTTTCCTGTGTTAATGAACTTCTACAAGTCAATATTTTCAGACAAAACTCAACAAATTAAGACTGTAAAAGTACTGTAGACAGCTGCAGGGAGACCTTAACAAACTCCAGGGGTAGGCACGGGGAATAACAATATGAGAGATGAACCACAACGAATGTAAAAGGTAATGAATATTTGAAATGGCTGTTAGAGTTTATCCCTAACAAGTGCAATGTAACGAATGTGGGTAATGGAGATATGAGATAAGAAAGACTGTTATCCTTAAAGGGACGGCAGCTACGGAAATCGGAAAGGGATAATTACTTGGATGTTGCCTGAATTCCATCACTAACATCAGAGGCACGTGTGAACTGGAACGAACGTAGCAACACGATGGTACCAGAAGAACATTGGAATTGTGTATAGAAATATCAGTGAGGGGCTCTTCTCACTGAGAGCAGAAATATCAGTGAGGAGCTCTTCTCACTGAGAGCAGAAATATCAGTGAGGGGCTCTTCTCACTGAGAGCAGAAATATCAGTGAGGGGCTCTTCTCACTGAGAGCAGAAATATCAGTGAGGGGCTCTTCTCACTGAGAGCAGAAATATCAGTGAGGGGCTCTTTTCACTGAGAGCAGAAATATCAGTGAGGGGCTCTTCTCACTGAGAGCAGAAATATCAGTGAGGGGCTCTTCTCACTGAGAGCAGAAATATCAGTGAGGGGCTCTTCTCACTGAGAGCAGAAATATCAGTGAGGGGCTCTTCTCACTGAGAGCAGAAATATCAGTGAGGGGCTCTTCTCACTGAGAGCAGAAATATCAGTGAGGGGCTCTTCTCACTGAGAGCAGAAATATCAGTGAGGGGCTCTTCTCACTGAGAGCAGAAATATCAGTGAGGGGCTCTTCTCACTGAGAGCAGAAATATCAGTGAGGGGCTCTTCTCACTGAGAGCAGAAATATCAGTGAGGGGCTCTTCTCACTGAGAGCAGAAATATCAGTGAGGGGCTCTTCTCACTGAGAGCAGAAATATCAGCGAGGGGCTCAAATAGGCGATCAGAATTGCCTATTTGAGATCAAAATTAAAATACTTAACACCCGACATGAAATCCGATTCATGTGAAACACAAAACTGGAATTGAAAATCAGAGGCTGGCAACAAGATTAGTGCCTGAGTTAAGAGGAACCTAAGTGGGTAGGTTAAGAGATCTCAATAATATAACCATAGAGAAGGGAAGAAAGAGAGGGGATATGATCATGACATACAAAATACTGATGGGAATAGAGAAGTTGGGCAAGGACAGCCTTTGTAAATTAAGATAATTTTAAAAGATGATTTAAGATGATTTACCATCCACCTGACACTGTACCATCCACCTGACACTGTACCATCCACCTGACACTGTACCATCCACCTGACACTGTACCACCCACCTGACACTGTGCCACCCACCTGACACTGTACCCACCCACCTGACACTGTACCACCCACTTGACACTGTACCACCCACTTGACACTGTACCACCCACCTGTCTACCCCTCCCACCACCTAACTCATGCCTTTAACACCTCGCCACTTATACCGGCCCCGCTGGCTGGTCTTGGCCGCGGTAATGAAGATTGCAATGGCCGCCGTTTCGCGGTCGGTCGGCAATTTACCAGAAGGCAAGCGCGATAGAGAAGAGGCGGACGGTGATTGGTTCTTGCCATGGCCTGGTCGGCAATACCACCTCTCCCCCTCTCCCCCCTTCTCCCCATCCCATCCGAGCCTCAGCCTATCCAACGTGTGCACCATTTGCTTGGGATAAGTGTGGATCAGATCAAGTTGGTCTGAGAGAGAGAGGGAACCATGAAGACTTGCAGCGTGTGATTGGCTGGTTCAGCAGACTAGAGTATTCACCGGAATCTTCCAAGATATTATTATTATTATTATCTTTAGCTGTTGCAGCTGGAGAGACAATGTTCACAGCTGTTTTGCTTTGTTAATATCCAGAATGGGAATATGTTCCCCCCCTGAAAAAAAATATTCACATCTCGTTTAGCCAGTAATGGGGACTATTTCTTGATTTGATATCTTGCTCAATGGTTGATGTTGGTGTTTATCGTGTGTTTGGTGTTATTCATTTACACAGTCATGTTATTTACTTATACATTCATTATTAACGCGGTTGAAAATGCGAATATTATTTCTCGCATTAATGCGACACTCAGATGTTTACCACAAACGCCTCCCATCAGGTTATCAACCCACAGAAAATTAAAAATTGGAACAGAATTACGTTGATTTATTAATATTATTTTTAACTAAACATCGTTGCATAAAGAAAGTAATGTTTTTTTTTTTTTATTGTAAAGAGCAGGAGTTGCCAAAGCGGCTTCCAACATTAGCTGAATATCACTGGACTCCATGAACCACTTCTTGAGTTATGGTTTGACGAAACTCTAGTTGATATTACCTTACGTATGTAACTTACATTGGTTTAAACCACGAGGGAGAAGTTAAGTTTGTCTATCTGTCTGTCTGTCTGTCTGTCTGTCTGTCTGTCTGTCTGTCTGTCTGTCTGTCTGTCTGTCTCTGTCTGTCTGTCTGTCTGTCTGTCTGTCTGTCTGTCTCTGTCTGTCTGTCTGTCTGTCTCTCTCTCTCTCTCTCTCTCTCTCTCTCTCTCTCTCTCTCTCTCTCTCTCTCTCTCTCTCTCTCTCTCTCTCTCTCTCCCAGATTCTCTAATGTCTCTCTCCATCTCTCTCTCTACCCCAGATTCTACCTAATGTTCTTCAGGTACCATGTAAGGACGGTGGCTCCCCTGCGCCAGGTGACCAGGGACTCACCTGATGCCGCCCCTTGAGGTGTTGAAGGCCAGGACGGTGGCTCCCCTGCGCCAGGTGACCAGGGACTCACCTGATGCCGCCCCTGGAGGTGTTGAAGGCCAGGACGGTGGCTCCCCTGCGCCAGGTGACCAGGGACTCACCTGATGCCGCCCCTGGAGGTGTTGAAGGGCAGGACGGTGGCTCCCCTGCGCCAGGTGACCAGGGACTCACCTGATGCCGCCCCTGGAGGTGTTGAAGGCCAGGACGGTGGCTCCCCTGCGCCAGGTGACCAGGGACTCACCTGATGCCGCCCCTGGAGGTGTTGAAGGCCAGGACGGTGGCTCCCCTGCGCCAGGTGACCAGGGACTCACCTGATGCCGCCCCTGGAGGTGTTGAAGGCCAGGACGGTGGCTCCCCTGCGCCAGGTGACCAGGGACTCACCTGATGCCGCCCCTGGAGGTGTTGAAGGCCAGGACGGTGGCTCCCCTGCGCCTCAGGTGACCAGGGACTCACCTGATGCCGCCCCTGGAGGTGTTGAAGGCCAGGACGGTGGCTCCCCTGCGCCAGGTGACCAGGGACTCACCTGATGCCGCCCCTGGAGGTGTTGAAGGCCAGGACGGTGGCTCCCCTGCGCCAGGTGACCAGGGACTCACCTGATGCCGCCCCTGGAGGTGTTGAAGGCCAGGACGGTGGCTCCCCTGCGCCAGGTGACCAGGGACTCACCTGATGCCGCCCCTGGAGGTGTTGAAGGCCAGGACGGTGGCTCCCCTGCGCCAGGTGACCAGGGACTCACCTGATGCCGCCCCTGGAGGTGTTGAAGGCCAGGACGGTGGCTCCCCTGCGCCAGGTGACGGTGCGGGAAGGGAAGGGCACCTGGTCGATGACACACTTGAGCTCTATCATACTGCCGCTGTTGTAGTGCTTCTCCTCCACATCCTGCCCTCGCTCGTCCACCACCCGCGCTCTCGGCTCTGCCCACCACACCACCACATGAGGGCACGGAGACATATGAGGCACACGGAGACATGAAGACACAAGGAGACATGAGGGCACGGAGACATGAGGACACACGGAGACATGAGCACACACGGAGACATGAGGGGCACCGAGACATCAGATGTAAGAGACATGTAACAGACGTCAGAGTCATAAAACATCATAATACAGACATCATTGAAAATAGTGCTTTAAACGCTTCCGTTTCATTCCTCTAAACATTAAAAATTGCATGAAAAAACCCTATACCCACCAGACCCAAGCAACTCTTCCCCCCTACTACCACACACTCGAATTTCGTAAACACCACAATTGCCTAACCGTTCCCTCGAGCCAATGTAGACACTAATGAGCTCAATCGTGCAGATTGAACGAAACAAATGCCAGAAGACCCACAAGGCATCAAACCGAACCTATCAGATCAGACCATTGCCCAACCAGATCCAAATCTAACCCCCACTACCTCGATTCCTCGAGATTTTGGATAATTCGCCTGGCCGGATTCTCCTGGATTATATCCCTGACCTCTTCTCTTATGTTCGTGTTTATCCTGTGTCCATTGATACGTTAGTGTGTGTCCTTGTATGAGTCTGTCTTTGTTTCAGGTGTGATACTGCATTTGATGGAGCAAAAACCTGATATCCTAGCATTCTTGATGGCTAATATCCTTGAATATGCAGCGGGATAAGGATAATATCGTAATATTCCGGGAGATTTATGGTAATATTCAGTCATTACAGCACGCTAAAGGTAATATCCTGTCATTCCAGGAGACTAAGGCCAATATCCTATAATTACAGCTGACATTAGCTTACATTATAACATGAGTTATATTAGATCAGCATTCTAACTTGCCCGTCCGGCAGGTAAAGGCCAACATCATACCGCTCCAGCAGGTAAAAGGCCAACATCATACTGCTCCAGCAGGTAAAAGGCCAACACCATACTGCTCCAGCAGGTAAAAGGCTAACATCATACTGCTCCAGCAGGTAAAAGGCCAACATCATACTGCTCCAGCAGGTAAAAGGCCAACATCATACTGCTCCAACAGGTAAAAGGCCAACATCATACTGCTCCAGCAGGTAAAAGGCCAACATCATACTGCTCCAGTAGGTAAAAGGCCAACATCATACTGCTCCAACAGGTAAAAGGCCAACATCATACTGCTCCAGCAGGTAAAAGGCCAACATCATACTGCTCCAGCAGGTAAAAGGCCAACATCATACTGCTCCAGCAGGTAAAAGGCCAACATCATACTGCTCCAGCAGGTAAAAGGCCAACATCATACTGCTCCAGCAGGTAAAAGGCCAACATCATATTCCTCCAGCAGGTAAAAGGCCAACATCATACTGCTCCATCAGGTAAAAGGCCAACATCATATTCCTCCAGCAGGTAAAAGGCCAACATCATACTGCTCCAGCAGGTAAAAGGCCAACATCATTCCGCTCCAGCAGGTAAAAGGCCAACATCATACTGCTCCAGCAGGTAAAAGGCCAACATCATACTGCTCCAGCAGGTAAAAGGCCAACATCATACTGTTCCAACAGGTAAAAGGCCAACATAATACTGCTCCAGCAGGTAAAAGGCCAACATCATACTGCTCTAGCAGGTAAAAAGGCCAACATCATATTCCTCCAGCAGGTAAAAGGCCAACATCATACTGCTCCAGCAGGTAAAAGGCCAACATCATACCGCTCCAGCAGGTAAAAGGCCAACATCATACCGCTCCAGCAGGTAAAGGCCAACATCATACCGCTCCAGCAGGTAAAAGGCCAACATCATACCGCTCCAGCAGGTAAAGGCCAACATCATACCGCTCCAGCAGGTAAAAGGCCAACATCATACTGCTCCAGCAGGTAAAAGGCCAACATCATACCGCTCCTACAGACTAAGCCAAACATGGTTTGCTTTTAATGCAGTTTTCTTCAATAACATTTTAGCTGAATGTTTCTTTAGCTTTAGACAAAAAAAAAACTATAATAAAATCACTTCAGTGCCGAAAACTTTCTGAAACTTATCAATGGAACGAATGTGAGAAGAAATTAAGATCCGAAGACTTTTAAAGGACAAGTATCGTAATCAAAGCTTTTGAAGAAAGTAATATATTATATATATATATATATATATATATATATATATATATATATATATATATATATATATATATATATATATATATATATATATATGTATATATATATATATATGTATATATATATATATATATATATATATATATATATATATATATATATATATATATATATACATACATATATCCGAGCAAGCCTGAATGTTCCCCAGGCATATATGCAACTGAAAACTCTGATGGTCGAGTGGTTAAGGTCTCCTGTACACCAGTTGCATAGTGCTCTAAGAAGTATGGGCTTGAGTCACTTCTGGGATGTGGAGTTTTCAGTTATATATATATATATATATATATATATATATATGCGAACAAGCCTGAATGGTCCCCAGGACAATATGCAACTGAAAACTCACACCCCAGAAGTGACTCGAACCCATACTCCCAGAAGCAACGCAACTGGTATGTACAAGACACCTTAATCCACTTGACCATCACGACCGGACAAAATGAGGTGATAGCCGAGGCTATTTGAACCACCCCACCGCCGGCACTCGGATAGTAATCTTGGGCATAGCATTTTACCAAATCACCTCATTCTTTGGGGCACACGTGAGGAACACAAATGCGAACAAGCCTGAATGGTCCCCAGGACCATTCCTGAATGGTCCCCAGGACCATTCAGGCTTGTTATATATATATATATATATATATATATATATATATATATATCTATATATATATATATATATATATATATATATCTATATATATATATATATATATATATATATATATTAGTATATTTTGGTAGCAGTCTTTCCTGTAGACATATTTTATTAAATATGACCGAAAAAGTAAGATTAATAATTCTAACACGAATTTTCTCAATCTTTCGTACATTATGCTTCACTGTTGGAGGTAAATCAAAAATCACTTCTCCAAAATTCATTTTTATTTCTAGTCTGACGCGACACGGGCGCGTTTCGTAAAACTTATTACATTTTCAAAGACTTCACAAATACACAACTGATTAGAACTTGCGTTTCCCTGATTTTATATCTACATTTGAGTGAGGTGGGAAGGGTGATGTGGCATTACATTTGAGTAAGGTGGGAAGGATGATGTGGCATTAGAGGATATTAATAGGGTATTAAAAGTATCAACACAAGACAGAACACGAAACAATGGATATTGAATAGAAGTGTTTGTAGAAAGCCTATTGGTCCATATTTCTTGATGCTTCTATATTGGAGCGGAGTCTTGAGGTGGGTAGAATATAGTTGTGCAATAATTGGCTGTTGATTGCTGGTGTTGACTTCTTGATGTGTAGTGCCTCGCAAACGTCGAGCCGCCTGCTATCGCTGTATCTATCGATGATTTCTGTGTTGTTTACTAGGATTTCTCTGGCGATGGTTTGGTTATGGGAAGAGATTATATGTTCCTTAATGGAGCCCTGTTGTTTATGCATCGTTAAACGCCTAGAAAGAGATGTTGTTGTCTTGCCTATATACTGGGTTTTTTGGAGCTTACAGTCCCCAAGTGGGCATTTGAAGGCATAGACGACGTTAGTCTCTTTTAAAGCGTTCTGTTTCGTGTCTGGAGAGTTTCTCATGAGTAGGCTGGCCGTTTTTCTGGTTTTATAGTAAATCGTCAGTTGTATCCTCTGATTTTTGTCTGTAGGGATAACGTTTCTATTAACAATATCTTTCAGGACCCTTTCCTCTGTTTTATGAGCTGTGGAAAAGAAGTTCCTGTAAAATAGTCTAATAGGGGGTATAGGTGTTGTGTTAGTTGTCTCTTCGGAGGTTTTACGTTTTACGAAACGTTTTACGAAACGCGCCCGTGTCGCGTCAGACTAGAAATAAAAATGAATTTTGGAGAAGTGATTTTTGATTTACCTCCAACAGTGAAGCATAATGTACGAAAGATTGAGAAAATTCGTGTTAGAATTATTAATCTTACTTTTTCGGTCATATTTAATAAAATATATATATATATATATATATATATATATATATATATATATATATATATATATATATATATATATATATATATATGTCGTACCTAGTAGCCAGAACGCACTTATCAGCCTACTATGCAAGGCCCTTTTTGCCTAATAAGCCAAGTTTTCCTGAATTAATATATTTTCTCTAATTTTTTTTCTTATGAAATGATAAAGCTACCCATTTCATTATGTATTAAGTCAATTTTTTTTTATTGGAGTTAAAATTAATGTAGATATATGACCGAACCTAACCAACCCTACCTAACCTAACCTAACCTATCTCTATAGGTTAGGTTAGGTTAGGTAGCAGAAAAAGTTAGGTTAGGTTAGGTTAGGTAGGTTAGGTAGTCGAAAAACAATTAATTCATGAAAACTTGGCTTATTAGGCATATCGGGCCTTGCATAGTAGGCATAGAAGTGCGTTCTGGCTACTAGGTACGACATATATATATATATATATATATATATATATATATATATATATATATATATATATATATATATATATATATATATATATATTATTAAATATGACCGAAAAAGTAAGATTAATAATTCTAACACGAATTTTTTCAATCTTTCGTACATTTCTTTTCACTGTTGGAGGTAAATCAAAAATCAATTCTCCAAAATTCATTTTTATTTCTAGTCTGACGCGACACGAGCGCGTTTCGTAAAACTTATTACATTTTCAAAGACTTTAGTTCACAAATACACAACTGAATAGAACTTACGCATCTCCGATTTTATATCTACATTTGAGTGAGGTGGAAGGGGTGATGTGGCATTAACACAAGACAGAACAAGATGTGGCATTAATAGGGTATTAATTTCATCAACACAAGACAGAACAAGAGTATTAATAGGGTATTAATTTCATCAACACAAGACAGAACACGAAACAATGGATATTGAATAGAAGTGTTTGTAGAAAGCCTATTGGTCCATATTTCTTGATGCTTCTATATTGGAGCGGAGTCTTGAGGTGGGTAGAATATAGTTGTGCAATAATTGGCTGTTGATTGCTGGTGTTGACTTCTTGATGTGTAGTGCCTCGCAAACGTCAAGCCGCCTGCTATCACTGTATCTATCGATGATTTCTGTGTTGTTTACTAGGATTTCTCTGGCGATGGTTTGGTTGTGGGAAGAGATTATATGTTCCTTAATGGAGCCCTGTTGCTGATGCATCGTTAAACGCCTAGAAAGAGATGTTGTTGTCTTGCCTATATACTGGGTTTTTTGGAGCTTACAGTCCCCAAGAGGGCATTTGAAGGCATAGACGACGTTAGTCTCTTATAAAGCGTTCTGTTTTGTGTCTGGAGAGTTTCTCATGAGTAGGCTAGTAGCCTACTCATGAGTAGGCTAGTAGCCTACTCATGAGAAACTCTCCAGACACAAAACAGAACGCTTTAAAAGAGACTAACGTCGTCTATGCCTTCAAATGCCCTCTTGGGGACTGTAAGCTCCAAAAAACCCAGTATATAGGCAAGACAACAACATCTCTTTCTAGGCGTTTAACGATGCATAAGCAACAGGGCTCCATTAAGGAACATATAATCTCTTCCCACAACCAAACCATCGCCAGAGAAATCCTAGTAAACAACACAGAAATCATCGATAGATACAGTGATAGCAGGCGGCTTGACGTTTGCGAGGCACTACACATCAAGAAGTCAACACCAGCAATCAACAGCCAATTATTGCACAACTATATTCTACCCACCTCAAGACTCCGCTCCAATATAGAAGCATCAAGAAATATGGACCAATAGGCTTTCTACAAACACTTCTATTCAATATCCATTGTTTCGTGTTCTGTCTTGTGTTGATGAAATTAATTCCCTATTAATACTCTTGTTCTGTCTTGTGTTGATGAAATTAATACCCTATTAATGCCACATCTTGTTCTGTCTTGTGTTAATGCCACATCACCCCTTCCACCTCACTCAAATGTAGATATAAAATCGGAGATGCGTAAGTTCTATCAGTTGTGTATTTGTGAACTAAAGTCTTTGAAAATGTAATAAGTTTTACGAAACGCGCTCGTGTCGCGTCAGACTAGAAATAAAAATGAATTTTGGAGAATTGATTTTTGATTTACCTCCAACAGTGAAAAGAAATGTACGAAAGATTGAAAAAATTCGTGTTAGAATTATTAATCTTACTTTTTCGGTCATATTTAATAATATATATATATATATATATATAAATATATATATATATATATATATATATATATATATATATATATATATATATATATATATATATATATATATATATATATATATATATATATATATATATATATATATATATATATAAGCCAGAAGCGACAGAAGGAGAGGATGAAAGGCAGACGTCCCTCGCCTGAGGCACGCTCATCAAAGAACGTTTATCACTGTGTAGAAAACTGGGCAGCTTGTGCCACCGGCAGACCACGAAATCGTAAGAAAGAAAAGGAAACAGAAAAATAATAACTATTTTTTTTTAAGAGATCGCGACTTGGTAGGCGAACAAGGGGACACAGGTGGAACGTGAGTGCCCACATGAGCCACAGGGACGTTAGAAAGAACTTTTTCAGTGTCAGAGTAGTTTAACAGATGGGATGCATTAGGCAGTGATGTGGTGGAGGCTGACCCCATACACAGTTTTAAATGTAGATATGATAGAGCCCAGTAGGCTCAGGAATATGTACAGCAGTTGATTGACAGTTGAGAGGCGGGACCAAAGAGCCAAAGTTCAACCTCCGCAAGAATAACTAGGTGAACACACACACACACACACAAACACACACACACACACACACACACACACACACCCACACACACACACACACAACACCTACACACACACACACACACACACACACACACACACACACACACACACACACACACACACACACACACACACACACCCACACACACACACACACACACACACACACACACACACACACACACACACACACACACACACACACACACACACACACACACACACACACACACACACACTCACACACACAACGTAGCCTCAACGCTGCTTGGACTACTTTTAGAGTAATAAAATAATGCACTAAAGTAAAAGAAAAAAAGCTGTAGTTACTTTCTGCGTTTTTGGAAAATTATTTTACAGTAAAAAATGTTCCCAATAAATATATTGTTTTGCCAGTAGCAACCTCTTAGGCCCCTGTTAATTACAATAATCTCACTGCATATACAATAATAATAATAATAATAATAATATTATATATTATAATATATCTCATTTTTATGAAATTTCCACAAATGTGCTCATGCTAAGAAAAAACTTATACCTGATTGCTCAACTCTTCAAAGACCTACATATACTCTCATTACAATTTAAAAAAATAAGTGGGTGAGGGGAAACTGAATGAACCAGGTTCACATATGATCCTAACGAGTGACGTTCAGGATGAGCTGAAACCAGTTTGTGACACAGTCAAAGGGGGAGAGTAACATGCCACGTTCAGGACACGGAGAGGAAGGAACGTTTGACGTTCAGGAAAGGGGAAAATAGCTTGTGACGTGCAGTAATGAGGGGAGAGTAGCCTGTAACTAGGAGAACGAGGGTAGGGGGGGGAGAGAGGCTAATGACGTTCAAGAGGGGGAATAAATTAGCCTCTGAGGATGTGGACGAAGGGAAGGGGAAACAGATAACGTGTAAGACGAGGGGAAGAGGGATGTTACCATGACAACTGTTGTTGATATGTAGCGACTGTTGTTGTTATTACTAAGAGTACTATTGCAACTTTAACTACCATTGTTACTGATACTATAACCAGGCCTACTGCTGATACTGTGACTAGGCCTACTACTGCTATTAAAAAGGCTTGCTTATCTTATTACAAGGCCTAGATTTTTTCCTATTTCTAGACTTACCACTGTTATTAAAAGGCTTAATAAAACTACTATTACTAAGCCTACACTCCAGCTATTACTAGGCCTACACTTCAGCTATCACTAGGCCTACACTTCAGCTATTACTAAGCCTACACTTCAGTTATTATTAGGCCTACACTTCATCTATTACTAGGCCTACACTTCAGCTATCACTAGGCCTACACTTCAGCTATAACTAAGCCTACACTTCAGCTATTACTAGGCCTACACTTCAGCTATAACTAAGCCTACACTTCAGCTATTACTAGGCCTACACTTCAGCTATCACGAGCGAGACGTGCATGGGCCGACGACAATCTGCCGGGAGAGAGAGCACGTCTGACCGTCACAGAACAATGGCAGACACTGACCTGTGACGCTGAGGGTGACGTCCATGACGAGGGGAGGTGTGGTGGCCACCTGGCACCGGTACTCGCCGCCGTCGCCACTCTGCACGTCACCGATCACCAGTTGCCATCGTTGCCATCTCTCCCCTGCCTCGTGGACCAGACGGTACCTGGAATGGGGTATACCAGCGTGGTTGGTGCCAGTGAGGGTGGGGCAGTGAGGTCTCCTGGATGGCCTTGTGGAAGTTGGTCTCTAGCACCAGGTTTCGAATCCTCGTCATGGCCCTTGTGGATTTGTTCATTGGTCTCTAGCTCTGGGGTTTCGTTACTTGGTTTGATAGAGGTGTGTGTGTGTGTGTGTGTGTGTGTGTGTGTGTGTGTGTGTGTGTGTGTGTGTGTGTGTGTATGTATGTGTCTGTGTGTGTGTGTACTCTCCTAATTGTGCTTGCGGGGGTTGAGCTATGGCTCTTTGGTCCCGCCTCTCAACCGTCAATCAACAGGTGTACAGGTTCCTGAGCCGATTGTGCTCTGTCATATCTGTGTGTGTGTGTGTGTGTGTGTGTGTGTGTGTGTGTGTGTGTGTGTGTGTGTGTGTGTGTGTGTGTGTGTGTGTGTGTGTGTGTACTCATCTTATTCACAAATCGTACTTAGAGGACTAAAAGTTAGGTTTTTGTCACCGGGTTTTCAACTATCTGTCGTCCATTTGGCAAAACTACTGACAATCAAGACCTCAATCACTTCAACATTTAACTTATGTACGGAATTACTCTCCACAATCTCGTTCTATAATTCATTCCATTTACTCATTATACTCAGTTTTAATGAATATTTCCTCACCATCCGGAGGTTCGTCCATGTTAGTAGCTTCCTTCAGTGACCTCTCGTGTTTATTGTACACGTGCTCAACCTTTCGTCCTTACCTACTTCGTCAATACCTCTTAGGATTTAATACGTCGCGATCATGTCTCATCTGTCTAGTTTTTTCCTAGTATATTAATGTCTAGCTCCATTAGTCTTATATTTTAGTTCAATCCTCTGAGTTCGCAAAAGGAGTTTTATGGCATATTTCCAGAGTTTATTTCTTGAGTTTCTTCTTGTGATTTTTAAGGGCTCCATTAGGGGCTGCATATTCCAGTATTGGTCTCATGTAGTGTACATTGAATACTTCATTGTTCAGCTTCCTGAAAGGTTCTTGGATCTTTGCCAGCCCTGCATACACCTCGTTGCTGATGTGATTCTGTTGATGTCTCTCTCGAGACTGGTTGAGTATTATGTCTGCTCCTCAAACCTTCTTCGCTTATAGAGAAGAAGGTTTATAGCATATAGCATATAGCAAATAGCTTATAGCAAACCTTCTTCGCCTTTTTCTCATTGTGTACTGGTTGTGCAGTCTCCTCGCTAACCTCCCAATGATCAATATATTATATACACATATTTGGCTGAAGTCGAGTAGCCATCGTTTTGGCCTTTCCTGCAGCTTATCCAGGCTTATCCATGTAGCATTCTCCAGTCCTCAGGTGTCATATAACACTTGTTATCTGTTTCGTATCACCTGCCAAATTTGACATATAAGAGACGGTCAAGTTCTAACCTCTGTCATTGCCGGCTGGTCACACTTCTCTATGATCTCCAATTTTTCACACTGCTCGCGGTTATACAGGCAATCGACCCCCTGATTAATTCACTGTTCGGTCCGTTACTCCAGGATATGTTTTGAGTCCACGTTGATGCCCGTCAGTGTAGAAATAAAGAGCTAAGATTATGTTTAAGTTGCTGAAGGAAAAATTCGACAAGCAGCAAAAGTGGGGGGAAAAAATGGTTGCTGGAATTCAACTCCAACACTTGTAAGGTAATGAAGATAAGAAGAGGAGAAAGGAGACTGGTAGAAGATTAGGAAATAGAAGGAAACAGACCACCAGACAGTGCCAGCCCTCTACCAGACACTGCCAAACCTAAACCAGACAGTGCCAGCCCTCCACAAGACAGTGCCAGCTATCCACAAGACAGTGCCAGCCCTCACAAGACAGTGCCAGCCCAACACCAGACAGTGCCAGCCCTCCACAAGACAGTGCCAGCCCTCCACAAGGCAGTGCCAGCCCTCCACAAGACAGTGCCAGCCCTCACAAGACAGTGCCAGCCCTCCACCAGACAGTGCCAGCCCTCCACCAGACACTGCCAGCCCTCCACAAGACAATGCCAGCCCTCCACCAGACAGTGCCAGCCCTACACCAAACAGTGCCAGCCCTACACCAAACAGTGCCAGCCCTCCACAAGACAGTGCCAGCCCTCCACAAGGCAGTGCCAGCCCTCCACAAGGCAGTGCCAGCCCTCCACAAGACAGTGCCAGCCCTCACAAGACAGTGCCAGCCCTCCACCAGACAGTGCCAGCCCTCCACCAGACAGTGCCAGCCCTCCACAAGACAATGCCAGCCCTCCACCAGACAGTGCCAGCCCTATACCAAACAGTGCCAGCCCTACACCAAACAGTGCCAGCCCTCCACAAGACAGTGCCAGCCCTCCACAAGACAGCCCCAGCCCTCCACAAGACAGCCCCAGCCCTCCACAAGACAGTGCCAGCCCTCCACCAGACAGTGCCAGCCCTCACAAGACCGCAGACAGTAGCCGAGCACAACACGGAGGGAGTGGGTACATGTAATCTCTTGTAAAAAACAGTGACCCGGCCGAGGCCGAGACCGCCACAGCTCGACCCCCTTCGTCTCGACCCGCAGCTCGTATCTCACGTTATTATATACTTGACCCGAGGCCGAAATCACGTCAGCTCGTAAACACGGGCGGCTCCGCCCTCGGAAGGACGGAGTTCCACTTCGTCATCGGTGTTTACTGCTCGGCGGTCAGGGCGATCTCCTTCTGGGCGTAGACACGCTTCGCATTTCTCCTCATGGTAAAATTCCCCCAGTCACCGGAGCAGTAATTTGGTGTTGGGGTTCGAGGTCTATCAACCACTGAAGGCCTCTTCAGTGGTTGATAGACCTCCTTATCGTATTAATTCTGATAATTATATATTATCCTGTTAATAAGGCTTCCTTATTAAGGCCTCTACAATAGATTCTTGACTATAGCCAGTTCGTATACTCCAATCCTGAACTATGTCTAGGATTAAAGTATGTTGTATAACATCCAGGTACTGGGAACAAATGGTTCCAAGCAGCACGGGCTATGGTGATCCCGTAGTACTCATCTGGCACAGGAGATGTGCTGCGACCTGACACTGATGTGCCAGAGATACTAAAGTAAACTCTCAGTGTTTATATACACATCTGGGTACACATCTCTCGGTGTATACCTGTGATTTATATCCCACATGTGGATACATTTTTTTTCTTTTGTCATTATTGGGAAATATTAGATTTAAGTTAAATTTCTCTTTTATTTTAGATAGTGATTATATTGCCACTGACAACATTTTAGGAATGTTGGTGTTATAATAAACTGAAAATCAAGGAGCATGTTTTTGAAGGAATATACACATATTCCTATAATACTCGTCTCCAGTGGTAGAATACTCATCCCAGAGATACTCGCCTGCAGTGGTAGAATACTCATCCCAGAGATACTCGCCTGCATTGGTAGAATACTCATAATACTCATCCCAGAGATACTCGCCTGCAGTGGTAGAATACTCATCCCAGAGATACTCGCCTGCAGTGGTAGAATACTCATCCCAGAGATACTCGCCTGCAGTGGTAGAATACTCATCCCAGAGATACTCGCCTGCATTGGTAGAATACTCATAATACTCATCCCAGAGATACTCGCCTGCAGTGGTAGAATACTCATCCCAGAAATACTCGCCTGCATTGGTAGAATACTCATAATAATCATCCCAGAGATACTCACCTGCATTGGTAGAATACTCATCCCAGAGATACTCACCTGCATTGGTAGAATACTCATCCCAGAGATACTCGCCTGCATTGCTAGAATACTCATCCCAGAGATACTCGCCTGCAGTGGCATAATACTCATCCCAGAGATACTTGCCTGCAGTGGCAGAATACTCATAATACTCATCCCTGAGATACTCGCCTGCAGTGGTAGAATACTCATAATACTCATCCCAGAGATACTCACCTGCAGTGGTAGAATACTCATCCCAGAGATACTCGCCTGCAGTGGCAGAATACTCATCCCAGATAATAGCTCTTGCTTACAGCTCAACTCACCGAGCCTAAGTAAGCCTGTTTTACTGAATCATTGATGATATTGTGATTTCTGTCCATCCTCTCGATTTGCCTCTCCGTAAAAAATGCAACTGTTTTGCATAATCTCCAACGTACGACCCCAACCCTCCCTAACCAATCCTGGCCGATCAATAGAAAATTTTTTTGGGAGTTTTAGTTTTTCTAATTCATTGTATTTTTAACGGACGAGATGGGATACAAACCGTTCCGTCTCTCTCTCTCTCCTCTCTCTCTCTCTCTCTCCCTCTCTCCATCTCTCTCTTCTCTCTCTCTCTCATCTCTCTTCTCCTCCTCTCTCTCTGCTCTCTCCTCTCCCTCTCCTCTCTCTCTCTCTTTCTCTCCCTCTCT